TCTGTGAGCAATTGAAAGCATTCCTGAAATTGGTGAAGTGTTTCTGAGTCTGCCTTTATCATTAAGTTATTTTGAAGGGATTGGGTAGTTGAGGGAGGGCAGGGGTGATTTTTTGTGTTTGCATTTTAATCTGATCTTGGATTTACCAAAGACAGAGCTATTTTGGCAGGCAGTGGCTTGGCAGTGATGCATCTCACATGCTGTCTGGGTTTAAAAAAAAATAAAATACGGGGGGTGGAATGGGAGAAAAGAAAGAAAACTACACCGAAGTTTAGACTGGAAACTCTGCCATTCTGGACAAGAGCAACTACTGAGAAGTTTAACTGTTCCACTTAGTGTGGATCAGCTGAATAACAGCCAAAGCTTTTTTCTGCCCTTTTCAGTTATTCATATCACTCCCACCATAACAGCCTTGAGGAGCTGCATTTTTTGTCTGTGTAAACCCAGAAGACAGAGTGTCTATTGACCCCCTTGCTGTTTCTGGAATGTGTCTTAGAAAACCGTTCTCAGCAAAATATCCTTCATTCTTTTCTCTATTGAGGACCCGAATGGCAGAAAGTGGACTTCTAAACAATTTCTCCTACACTTAATTACCAGTTGCTGTTCATATTGAACTGGGTTTTGGGCGAATGGGTGTGTGCAAGGAACACTGGGCAGTGTTTGTTCTTGGAATTCTCTGAGAGGCAGCATGTAATGCACAGCAGCTTACAAACATTTTCTCACGCTTTCAGGATTGACATAACGCTGTCTGTGTCCCCTGTTATGCCTTTGACCACTGGTCAGAAAAGCAAAAGGAGTAGGATTGATTTCAGATAAAGGTTTACTAGTTCTGTGTATTTGCAAGGACTATAGAGAAATTTCCCTGTCTGTGATTCTTTGGTCTCATTCTGATATGCAGTGATGACTTAAGTTGCATCATATTGCTCAATTGGAGGATTTTTCAGGCAGGTGATGACCAGGTTCAGACTAAATATATCTCCCTAACATGGGTTACTTCAGAGTAAAAGGGTTGCAGGGTTAGCTTTCTTCTAATTTAATATTTTAAAGAGCAAATAAATACTTCTGTAAGTGCTTCACTTGAAAGGGTGTTGGTGTCCCACCCTGGTAAGCCATCTCTTGGCTTGAACCTGCCATCTCTGGATTCATGGTGGATTCATTTAGAACAAAATTCTGGTGCTATATGAAAGTCTGGAGTTTGCAGCTCAGTGGTTAGGTAGAAGATCTGCAGGAAATGTGGTTAAAACATCTCGAGAGAATAATGTTTGGGTTCCTTTCCCCTGCTACCACAGAAGAGAGAGAAGCCACAGCATGTGTTGCTATTCAGCTTAGTGCTTTTTGCATCAGATAAGTACTGTTGAGGCCTGATTTGTTTGTTGTTGTTGTTTTTAAATCAACACCTGGGGGAGGCTGCAGGGCAGCAGTAACTTTCTATCAAGTAGCAAGGCTGTCTAAAGAAAGGGAAAAATACTGGGTTTAATTACATTAAATATCAACTCCATGTAGGTTCTGTAGGAGAAGAGGTGATACACAATAAGCCTTACCTGCTGCTAGCATGCTGCTAGGTAGTTCAGTACATCAGAGCTACTTCTCTTTTACCTAGAGTCTTCTTTCAGAGCTAGTTACAGAAAGCACCTCTCTGGTGTGGTTGTGTTTAAATCTGCCTGCCCCGGCAGTGGGAACCTGAGGTTGCCATCTGTGCTCGTTGCAAGGTTAGTGCTGCTGCCAATATTGGGCTTGTCACTCATCCCTTGTTTTGCTTTTTCTTGAGACCTGCATTGCATTGGCATCTGTGACCTTTTGGTTTTGTTGCTGCCATGTGAATTCAGAGGAGAACTGCTTTGACAAAAACAGATTTGGGGAGGGGAGGCAGTATGTATGTACACTGTGCACCTTTATGTGGAGATTAAAAAGATGTTACAAAGGTATGTTTGAGGAGGGTGCAGCATGCCTAATCTGTGTATCTTTTGTAAATGTCTGCAGAAGCAAACTGCTTTTCTTTTCCCCCAAAATCCCATATGTATATTCCATTTTATGCCTTTTCATGATGCTGAAATGTGACCTCATTCTTTCTTTTAAGAGGGGAGGGGATTGTTGTTGTTGCATTCTGAATACCTAGCCATAACATCTCCTACAATTGAGTAATCTTGCAGTCTGGAGAAGATCTGGATTGTGTTTTCACATGTGGTGCTGGAAATATGAGGTCTTGCTCAGTCATCCCTGCTCAGTTAAAAGAGTATGTTGACTGAAAGCTGCATTACAGTATCAGCCCCTTCTATCTGAAGTCATGGTCTGGTTTTCCAGAGACCAATTATTCCAAAGCCTTTCCTTCTGAAAATACTGTTCAGAGGAAATATTTTAACATTAAGCAGCTCAAAAAATACCTTCTCTGCAGCTGTTTGTGTGCACAAGTGAGCAGTAAAGATGGCAAAATTTTATTTTCTGTAAAGCTCAACTATAAATTACTCCTGAGATAGCTCCCGTGACTCTGTACCTCCAGGCCACTGCATCCATTATTCTAAATATGAAACTTGAAATCACCAGCTCATTTTTATCATTCTGTGTTTCAGCAGAATGCAGCAATAAAATACAATTCTGTTAATACTAGAAGTGATGATACTCAAATGAAGTAATGAAAAAAATCTCAAGGTTTTTTTATATTTAAGATCCAGCTACCTCATTGGAAAAATATTTAAACTGTTTTAAGCTTGCCAAATGCATTAAATGGCCAGAAGAAACAAAGCATCACTGGGGCTCTTAGAAAAAAAAAATATAATCTTGGTTTTGGAATGTACCCAATCTAACTCACTCATCTGCTGCCTTCTTTTATTTGGGGCCAGTTAAGATAGTTCTGGAAACTGAGCATCTACTCCTGTGTACATTTAGCTCAGACTTTGCTCGTAGCTGACCAAGATGCTCCCTCATGAACTCTGATGGCTCAATGTTTGCTGGATCTGCCTGGAAATGTGTAATAATGGATTTCTTGTTTTTCTGCTTCAACAATAGAGTCAAGGGACAAATTCCTGAGTTGCACTATTGAAACAAAATATGAAAAAGAAGAGACAGCTGTATGAGTGGGGCTGGGGCTGTGGCAGAAGTCAGCTCAAACAATGGGTTGCTCTTAGGTAGATGAAGAGAATGGGCTTCACAAATGGATATTGAGCTGTAGCAGCTGGGACTTGAGGAAGAGGTTGGGAGACAAGTCTGTGTTACTCTTACAGCTGCCAGCCCTTCTATGGCTGACTTTGTTTTGGTGATAAATGTTACAAGGCTGTATTGTTTTCCACTCATATTTAATGGAGCCATATATAAAAGTGTGGACGATAAAGTTTAATAAGCTATATAGTGCTTGGGTGGAAAAATGATTGCTAGGGCTTTGTGGAATTTCACTGCAGTAGGTACATTTTCTGAAGTTTTATGTGCAGCCTCTACAGGAATGAGTGGACAGTCAACACCTGTGGGGAACAAGCAAGTTGAAAGTGTCTCTTTTATTGGATTTCTTTATTTATTTGGTTACAGTCACAGTCTTTTCCATTTGATGCTGGTGTTTCATCTCCTGTTATGCACTCAGTGCCTGGCATTTTCTCATTGTGCTTGAATTATTTTTTGTAAAAGAATGTGAAGGGGATCTAGGAAGTTCCTGCAGTTGACTAGGATTGCAGAAGAAATAGCTGAATTAAGGTGAAATAAATTATTAGGTGAGATGTGCAAGTTGGACAAATGGGAGGGAAGGCTGTTTCTTTGCAAACTGAGATTTGAAACCTCCTGGCAGAATTTGTTACCTTCCAGTTAGGATTACTAAAATGTTCCATGATTTGGTATTTCATGGCTTTATTGTCAGGAAACTATTGTCTGCTTGGAACAGTTCATGGAGTAACCCCATTCTGAACTGCTTTTAATGGGAGTCCACTTAGACTATGCTAAAATTATTTGTTATTTTCCCTGAAACACCCCAAAATAATTGAACTTTAAAGAAGTCTTTCTCTTTTCTTAAAGAGGTTATTATGAAATGGAGAGAGTAATTGGAGTACAATACTTCCTGGACTTTCTGGTCAGAAGGGAACTTCACCATCTGGACTGAAGGACATGGGTGCAAGGATTAGGGTAGAAAGGGAGGAGGTGGAAGAGCTGCTGTATGAAGGCCAGCAGCAAGGAAGGAAAAGGCAACTAAAATAAACAGATGGGATAGGCAGTAAGGGAATAATATTGGACAGTGAAACAGATAACAGAAAGCCTTGGGAAGCAGAACTTTAAAAGGAGGAATCTTAAAATATAAAAGGGTCACTCAGGGACAGATTGTTCTAGGAAAAGAAGTGAGATTAATTGTCCAGTGCTCAGCTATGCTCGGTAGCAAAGCAAATCATCCGTGTGTGTAAAAATAGGAAGGGTGTTGTGTCTCAGCAGCTCCTCAGGCTCCCGTTTCCTTGTGCACTTCATGCCAGCACCATTTCAGGAAGTGTAGATAAAGGACTTTGCAGAGAACACAGCAGGACCATAAGCTAAGATGTTTTGTCATGATTTATGTTGGCTGAGGCACGTGAAATGAGTCAAAACTGTGCTGTTGTTTTTTTGTTGCTTTCCTTTCCGCAAAGAGTTCTGCCAGCCAGCAGGTACCTAGTTCATAGGTGAAAAGCAGGTGCCATCCAACAGGGCGTTCAGTGGAGCAAGAAGAGTGTCTGCAAGGGCACAGAAAAGGTGCCTGCCTGTTTTGTGGCCAGTAGAGGGGCAAAGTGGTTTGTGTACAGCATGAACAGAGGCTGTTCATGGAATGCAAAATGGTTTGTGGAAGTAGCATGTTGTAACACAAGAGCAACAGCAGTGTGCACACTGCAGGCTTGTGCTTGACACAGATGAACCGTTTAACAAAAAAGGAGTTAACCAAAAGTTGAAGTGTTCAGACTCCCATGTGCTGCCTGCTGGTAAGGATAGTATGATGGGGAGTAATACAATGCAGTTCCTTTCCATGCAGCATAAACAATGCATTTATTTTGGCATTTCTTTAGGCAAGACAGCAAGCTCAGCTACGACATCAAATGGCAGAAGACAGCAAGGCAGAATATTCTTCCACTCTACAGAAGTTCAACAGTGAGCAGCATGATCATTACTACACACACATACCAAGCATCTTCCAGGTAAGGTTGCTGGCACTGATCCAGAAGGTATCTCATCATCTTGTTTTAAGAACAGAAGGGTGTATTGCACATTGCCTCAATTCTATGACCCTGTCATTTACTTTTTTGTGATTTTACTGCTGTTAGCTCACTTTATATGCAGTCTGCCAACCCAGGAGATGGAGAGCTTGGTAGGATAAATTGTTCCTTTCTCGTAGGCTAGATATCAAGTGATCAATAATACATGAGGAAAGTGACATTGAATTGTCATGAAAGATCACGATAGTCTTTGGAGTCCTCAGAGTCTTGCTCTGTTCAAGTCTTGTGTCTGTGCAGCTGGGGAATGAGAGCATTATTTGCATTGTTGGGGCAGGAATCAGCTGGGCATCCTTACATCTTTAAAGCCTCACAGCCCTTTTCAGCCTGTCTTGAAATCAGACTTCAGATGTTTAAATTTAGACCACAATAATTCTGCAGTAGTGAATGTCAAAGGATTTAAGCAAGCTTGCTTATTATGTGTTAGGGTGCCTAAAGAAGGACTGGAGAGAGAACAAAAAAAAGCCCATCAGATTTATATTGAGTGAAGATCCGAGTTTGTGCTTGACTGGACAAAGAGAGATTAATGTAGTAGAACTGAAGTTCTAAATGACTGTTCCATTGTAATGGGTCATAAGCATCAGAAGTGGAAAATACTACCTCTTTAAGGGAGAAAATGTCACATGCTTCTCATCTGATGAGAAATAACTGATATTGCTGTAGCAAATGTGCATTTTCTTACCCATAGCTGGAACTTTGTAGCTAAATGGATACTACCTCCTGTTCTGCTTCATGGTATCTCAAAGCAATGTCTTTAGATAAATTAACCCTGGCATCAGATAAAACATTTTTTTCAGTATATTTGTGTTTAATGCTAGATCTGGTACATGCTCTGATTTGTATGTGAGCTTAAAGTGTACTGCAGGTGTACCCTTTGCACTACCAGGGCACCAATGAGCTCTTCTGCTTTCTTTTAGATGTTGAAATAAGTTCTGTAAATAATTCATGGTGCTTGTGCATCAGCCAAGGCAGTGGGGAATCTTGAGCTGACAATGCTCCATGAGGTTTCTGCAGGCTAATGTGAAACAGGCCATTCCTCTTCATGCCCTTCTGTATCCTGCTGCAGTCTGTCTCAACAGCATCATGCCACAGCCAGTTTTCCTTTGTTGTAAACAAGAGGCCCATGGAATTGATGCTGGAGATCATGGCACTGAGTCCTTTGAGCAACAGGGAGCTTTGGTTGAGAGCCCCTGATGGGAACAAAACATGATGTACTGGATTGCCTTTAAACCCAAAATTACCTTCTAGGGAAAAGGAGGAGAGATGTCAGGATTTTTGTTTGCTTGGGCTCTGAAGCGGAATGAAAATATGATCTTTCAGAACATGCACAGAAAATGAAAGAATTGGTGTGGCAGAAATTCTCTCTTAAGAGCCTTAAGAAGCCACCCTTACAAAAGTCTGAAGCTGGGGTTTTGAAAATCAGCATTTTTTAATGTAAAAAGTTAATTGAAAAACATTCCTACTAATAATAACAGGTTACTTTTAGAATGACATTTTGATGTTTGAGGGAGCAGTGTCACTGGGTGTCTTCATCAGAACAGCTGTCCTAGTTGGTTCTTAAAATAGATTTAAACCATACATTTTAAAGTAGCTGATATTTGGGGTGGGAGAGAGTGAAATTGGTAGAGACTGTGAAGTAAATCTTGGTATTTGATCTGAATCCAATGTAATATTTTAGAAAATACAAGAGATGGAGGAAAGAAGAGTCGTGAGGATAGGTGAATCCATGAGAACTTTTGCAGAGGTCGACCGCCAAGTGATCCCGATCATTGGGAAGTGTCTGGATGAGATCACAAAGGCTGCAGAATCAGTTGATCACAAGACTGTAAGTGTTGCATCATTTGGATTGTTCAGTGTCATCTTCAGTAGTGGTCACTTGATATGTGGAGGCATAAATCCTGGGTCCAGGCTGCAGGTCGAGAGCTCTGTAATCACAGAAGTAAAACAAAAACCTAACTTTTTGTCCCAGACTTTGTCTCAGGTAGGATGTGCTCAGATTATTTCCCAAATCTATTACACAACCCAGAAACGCCTCTACTGCCATACTTTTTATTTCCCCCCCCCTTTTTTTTTCCTTCTCCTTTTAGGAATAGTCTCTTCTTTTACTAGGATAATTAACTTTTTGGAATACTGTAATTTAAAAAAAGGCTTCTCTGTAGAATAAGGAAGATGGTAGACATAATTACAGATACTAATAATTATCAATTCTTATTCAGATGGGGTTTTTGTCTAATAGTCAGAAAACTGAATGTTGCAGGAGTGTCTTAATTTTATGATAATGGAAGTACTTACAGTATTTGCTATAAAAATTACTGCAAACAACTCTCAAAATCTACTGTAAAATCTTTCTTTGCAGATTTGAGGTTTGCTAGCAATCTGCAAATGAGCTCTCAGCAACCCTGATTTCTGAATGTCATTATAGAAGTGAAAAGAAGCCTTCCTGATAAAAAGGCTGGTACAAAGTTCAGTTGAGCTGCTTCTTGTGCAGTTAGCACAAGGGCAAATGTGTTTCCTATTTTGTTTTCAGAATGATCTGCTCCCTTGGTAAATGAAGTCTCTGCTTGTTCTTTCAGCCCTTCTCATGGATCACATTAGTGCTTCAAATACAAACAGCATGTGTCTTGCTGGCTCTTTGAATTTCCCATACGTCTTTTTCACTGGAATCTTTTCTGAGCTATTCAGTGCCCAGAGCCATTAATTGGCAGCATAAGCCTGAGGCTGAAGCTTTGAAATGAATCCTCTGCTTTCTGCTTGGCAATTGCTCTCAGAGAGCAGTGGAGGGAACCAAGGGATCAGAAAATGACTCTCAGAGGGTGGGAGAAGGGGGAGTTGGGACACAGATTCCCATGTTAGAACGACATGTCCTTCTTGAGGGGCAGCTTTTGGTGCTGCCTGGGGAAATCACTTTGGAGAGATTCATCTGTAAGGCTGCAGTGTCTGAATCTTCAAGTGAGGTCTTGGCAAACCACACACAAAGTTTGTCACAGTCACAGAATGGCAGGGGTTGCAGGGACCTCAGGGATCATCTAGTCCAACTCCCATTCTAGAAGTTTGAATCACTGTGGATTCTGTGTTCAAGTTGCTCTCTCTTGCACACAGGTAAGTCAGGTTGGTGGCTTGTGTGCACCAGTGTGACATTAACACTGATAACTAAGGGATCTCCTGTTAACACCATGTTAACTAATATGTATTTAACATTTAAGACTTTTTACATCTGAACAATAACAAAGGGTTTATCATGTTCTATCTGGAAAACAGTTATGTTCAGCAAGGGTTCCTTTTTCTTATATCATCAAGGATTTTTTTTTTCATCTCTGGAACAGTAGACTTCACTTTTTTGATTCTGGTAAGTTATATGCTTTTTCCTGTCCTTCTGTAGCATGCAGGTCCTGCCATTTAATAAGGATTGCTGTTAGGTGCACACCAGAGCAACCTAAAGCTGTATTTTCTTATTTCCAGATAATGTACTGCTTTTGCCACTAATGCAGTGTTACGGCAGCCCTTTCCCAGCTCACCCCTTGACTTTTTAAGAAGCAGGTTTGGGCTCTTAGGCTGCCATCAGGCAAGTTTCTCCTTTTCCTCCGAAGATGGAAATTAAAGGTTGCCTCCTTTACTCATCTTTTTCAAGCTTGAAAAACTTTAGACAGGAAAGTCAACTAGATCTGGGCTGTAGTCAGCTTTGAAAATGGGGTCAGATTCCAGGAAAGTTGAATGCAAGGGCAGCTGGTGATAATACAGCTAGTACAATGGTGGGCAAAATGAAGAGCCTGCTGAGCAGGAAAAGCTTTGTGGGAAACTCTGGGCCTACACAGACATGTGTTTCACAGCTGGGAGGAGATCTCCAGGATCTAGTGACCATAAACAAAAGTACAGTATCAGCAAACTTGAAATGTAGAAGGTCAGACACTATAACTCTGACAAAAAGTAGTGAGGCATTTGAGTTCTGGTTTAGCTGTTGGTGTCCTTTGGTTTTATTCTCACTTTTTTCTACCCAGCTGTTGGTAAGGCTGCAGTGTCTGAATCTTCAAGTGAGGTCTTGGCAAACCACACACAAAGTTTGTCACAGTCACAGAATGGCAGGGGTTGCAGGGACCTCAGGGATCATCTAGTCCAACTCCCATTCTAGAAGTTTGAATCACTGTGGATTCTGTGTTCAAGTTGCTCTCTCTTGCACACAGGTAAGTCAGGTTGGTGGCTTGTGTGCACCAGTGTGACATTAACACTGATAACTAAGGGATCTCCTGTTAACACCATGTTAACTAATATGTATTTAACATTTAAGACTTTTTACATCTGAACAATAACAAAGGGTTTATCATGTTCTATCTGGAAAACAGTTATGTTCAGCAAGGGTTCCTTTTTCTTATATCATCAAGGATTTTTTTTTTCATCTCTGGAACAGTAGACTTCACTTTTTTGATTCTGGTAAGTTATATGCTTTTTCCTGTCCTTCTGTAGCATGCAGGTCCTGCCATTTAATAAGGATTGCTGTTAGGTGCACACCAGAGCAACCTAAAGCTGTATTTTCTTATTTCCAGATAATGTACTGCTTTTGCCACTAATGCAGTGTTACGGCAGCCCTTTCCCAGCTCACCCCTTGACTTTTTAAGAAGCAGGTTTGGGCTCTTAGGCTGCCATCAGGCAAGTTTCTCCTTTTCCTCCGAAGATGGAAATTAAAGGTTGCCTCCTTTACTCATCTTTTTCAAGCTTGAAAAACTTTAGACAGGAAAGTCAACTAGATCTGGGCTGTAGTCAGCTTTGAAAATGGGGTCAGATTCCAGGAAAGTTGAATGCAAGGGCAGCTGGTGATAATACAGCTAGTACAATGGTGGGCAAAATGAAGAGCCTGCTGAGCAGGAAAAGCTTTGTGGGAAACTCTGGGCCTACACAGACATGTGTTTCACAGCTGGGAGGAGATCTCCAGGATCTAGTGACCATAAACAAAAGTACAGTATCAGCAAACTTGAAATGTAGAAGGTCAGACACTATAACTCTGACAAAAAGTAGTGAGGCATTTGAGTTCTGGTTTAGCTGTTGGTGTCCTTTGGTTTTATTCTCACTTTTTTCTACCCAGCTGTTGCATACAGAGTTGCTGGAGAAGGGGAGAGGTTAAGTGAGAGTTCTGCTCTTTGGGCAGTAACTCCAGTTCAGAAACCAGGGGTTTAAAAAGAACAAACATAACTCATACAGAAGATGTATCAGTCAGAAAGAAAATAGAGAAACCACCAATTCTAGTAACTTGTGCACCAAAACGTCTGTCATCTCCAGCTGAAAGGTTATAAGAATCTGCAAGTTCTTCACCCTTTTTTCTATCAGTAAAATATTACCAGCTGATGGTAAGGCATTATTGCTTAAAAAGGAAAAACAAAATAAAAGAAATACAACTTGGCACTTCATGTTGGTATCTCAAAACTCTTTGATAAAATGTTTCAGCTTTGGATACATGTATTACAAACACTGGTCTGTGAAGGTGAGGTTCCTGTGGCGTCTGTGAACCACGACAGTTTTAGCATGAGAATTTTGTAGCACAATAGTAAGGAAGGATGTATTTCTACAATGACTCTGAAACTGTGGAGGTGCAGACTCCTGACAAGCTTCCTTTCCACAGCCAGCTCCATGTTCCCTCCTTCTGTGGATGTTGGCAGGATGCTGGAAGATCACTTTTCTTCTAGGGCTGTTTCATTGGATAATGTTAAGAACTGGAATGACACATGGGACAGATTTAATACTTTCTATATTCTCTGCAGCTTAAATATTACAAAGTTCTGCCTCTTGCAAAAATGGCCCATCTTTCAGGCTTAGTAACTAAATTTGCTACTGCATAAATAGGATTGCTCTATGCCCTTACTGAAGTGTAGAGAATTCACTCTAATAGCAGGAGAAACTGTCTGGATTTAGCTGAGAATGCTGGTTAGCCCAGGGTTTCTAATGCAGTTGTGGAATATGCTGCTTTTTCATGTCCTTTTTCTAGCAGCTCAAGACAATACAGAGGTCATGTTGCAAGGCTGAGCTGTAAGTGACTGCGAGGTGAACCTAGGTAGAACTTGCTTCAGAAGGCTGTAGCAGTAGATAAAATTAATTTGTTAAGGACTTCAGAGTTCCTGTTATGACATTATCTCTGAGATATATGGAGCATGCTGGTTATTTTTAGTTCCATTGTAATGAAAGGTTGTTTTGACCAAATGGAAGGAAAACTGTAAAACTGACAGGAAAAAATGAAAGCTTCGTGCATAAGATGAAATTCCAGCAGTCCTGAAACCTTGAACATGTGTTTGGTTTCTTCTCTCTTCCTTCTTCATCTTGCTTTCAGGACTTTTAATAAAAATATCTTCAAATGTTTAGATGTCAAGGAGTTTTAATGTGAAATTAGGAAGATATAATGGAAAGGGTTGTTCTACCTCCCTGAATGTTGTGTAGGAATTTCACAGTGCACCTGATAAGATGAGGGTCTTAAACCTTATTTTCTTTTTCTCACAATCCCATGAAGACTTTTGCAAAGTTTTTCCTGTATCTGTTTTGCTCAGATGAGCCTGGCCTCTGGATATGCTCATATCCCCCTGGATTTCTCATGCACAGCATTTTACCTGCAGCCATAAGCAGAACCTGTGAAATGCCTTCAAATCAACAAGTTAATCTTTTTTATCTCAACAGGATGTTGATGCTCTTCTCTAGAGGCTAATAAGATATTTGTGCTGTGGCACAGTTTCTCTAATGATCTTAGAAGAAAACTATTAGAACAGTGTACCATAGAAAGCTCTGCCTAAGGAGTCAAGTAGATGAGAAGTGTGTTCAAATACTTTTTCAGAGTCCATTAGGTTGAAATGCGTTTGGCAAGTTGGGGTCTGAATTTGAGCTTATGTATAAATAATTGTAGACTTGACTAGGGAAAATGCTATAAATTGTTCTTCCTATGTCTTGTAGCTTTTTCTTCTGTCAAAAGCCACCCCACCAGAACTATTGTACACAGGCAGTGTGTGTGGCTGACTTTGGCATTCCCAGGAGTGCCAAAAGGGAATTTAATGCCAGCCTGTGCAGCTCCCAGCCCCTGCCTGCACCCCTGCTTGCCTGACCTTGGGCTGCTCCGTTGTTAGGTACAGCTCACATGATGAACTCCTGCCATTAACTGTAGCTGAGTTCACAAGCACAAACTGGCAACTTGTGGTAGTGGTTCACTCAAGAGCTCCTTTGGGTAGGAGTATTTACTGGGATTTTCCACTGGTTTGCTTACAGCTGTATGCCCAGCAATTCTAGCCTTCACCTCTTTATTATGAGTCACTTCAGTTATCTTTCACTTACAGAATTTGGATTGATTAATTTCTAGTCAGGAAACTTAACAATAATAAGCTCTTAGTTATTTTCACTAGTAGGCATGAAAAAGATGTTTGCATTAGAATTTTGATCTTGTGTTGGAAACAAAACAAAGGGAATGAAAACGTTGCGAAGTTGTGGTCAGACTGTGGGGCTGTGCAGCTCAGTAGAAGTGGACTGAGGAGACCTGAGTTTACTCTTCCTAACCATCATCTTTAGTTAACAGCAATGACCTATGCTCTAATGATAGCTAAGTATTTATTTTCCTAAATAGACCATAGTCCTCTGTTCTTTGTTGGTTTGTTGATTAATGACTGGTCTCAGTGATACCTCTGCAAAATGGGTTGGAGTTTCCTAACAGGAATAATGGTCTGAGACTAAAGCTCATCTGCTTTTTTTCTATATATTGTTTATTTAGAGATCTGTTACGAGACTAAGATTGTAGCCATTGGTGTTCCCAGTTGTAATCCATTCTGATTGACATAGGTTGGAAACTTTTCATTTATGGTTGCTGTGTTCTCCACTGCATTTATCACAAGTGTGGTTGTGATACAGGGAGTGATAAGTTTTACACCTTTGAGTGCCTTGTTTTGGTAGGACACTATACTGTGCCTAGGTGGTTTTTTAAAGCACATCATGGTAGTGAAAATAAATCCAAGAAAAGTGCCCTGGTTTTGGAGCACAAGGCTGGGAAGAATTGTATTGATCCTGGACTCTGGAAGGGTGTTCATTCCCTGGAATGAGTCTGATCCCTGTGAAGGTTGGTTCCTGCACAGGCAAACTTTGTTCGCCTTGTTCTGTTTTTCTGTGCCACCATCTGAGATGCTTATACTTGTACTGTATCTATGCCATTTCAGGACTCTCAGCTGGTAATAGAAGCCTTTAAATCAGGGTTTGAGCCTCCGGGGGACATCGAGTTTGAGGACTTCACGCAGCCGATGAAGAGAACGGTCTCGGAATCCAGCCTTTCCAACTCCAGAGCGGAGGGGAAGTATGAGCCAAAGTTTGGTGGCAAATCCAAGGGCAAGTTATGGCCATTCATCAAGAAAAATAAGGTACTGACTTGCAAACTTGAGCTTGGTGCTAGTGTGTGTATAGTCAATAACCTCTGTCTTGTCTAGTAATCCTGGCAATTACAACGTTTAAAAAGAGTTTTAGATTCAGAAAGTTAATAACTGCTGTCTGAATACTGAGTTTTGTTGTAGTCTTTGGTTACTTAAGTTTCTTTATATCTTTAAAATTTTTTTGTATAATTTTTTTAAATTATGTTGCAGTTTTGATATTAATTTAACTTCAGTTGTCATGTCTCTGCCATGGTCCATTTCTGTTCCTAACTCAGTGAAGGAATTGTGTGCTACTTACCTAGTGCTGTGTGTGCCAACTAACATTGTTACTCTGGGGAAGCTTGAATGTGGCATTACTGTTTTGACACTTCTATAACTCTCCTTGAGCTTCTCATTTGTATTATCTTTTCAGTCTGTGCGCTGGGGTCAGCAGTTGGGTGGTTGGGAGCAAGGAATTGCTGTGATTCATTCTTCTTAGCAAAACTAACAGAGCATAACTAACTTGAGCAGTTGACTTTTTGAAAAGACCATATTAACTTATGTATCCATTAAACCTTTTTCATTTCACTGTCATATTTTACACCATAATGCATGGCAGCATTTATTGGGGGTTACCAGAATGTGTCAGGGTGACTGGACTAAATCAGTTTTCAGTAGCACTGATGGAAGCCCAGAGTAGCTGTGTTGTTTGATCTCACCCTTACTCTGACCCATATCAAACCACTTCTACTAATTATAGAGCCAAAAAAAATCTACCTGTTCCAAATGGATCATTCCTGTTCTGAGACCACATGGCTGTCTGGTGCTTACATCAGTGTAGCCAGGAAAAAACAAAACACAAGAACAAAACAACCCAGGACTAACTCCTCAGCAAATTCATAAAATAATTTGTAAAAGTGAAGTGTGATGCACATTACTGAGGTATGATTTGAAAGCAGGAAGGAATGTGGTTTGTTGTTTTCCAGATAATAGAAACGCTACTGGGCACTAAGGTACCTTCCTTATCTGATCCATTTAAATTCAGGTATTTGAAAGCTCTATCCATATGCATTATTTGAGCTGTCACAGAGCCAGAGCAGGGCAATGTGAGGGGATAGTGCTGCATGGAAGAGTCTGCATGAGCCTCCTGTCAAAATACTTTGTGTTACTCTTCTGTTGCACCACTTACTAAAACTTCCATTTATTGCATTCTTCATTTAACACAACTCTTAAATATTCTGCTTTCCCTCCTCTTTTGAACCATGGCCTTTAATATTTAATTATTTAATTGTTTTTTCTTTTGGTTCGGTTTTTTTTTCCTCTGGATTTCAAATATTGGTTTTGATGCTTATTTTTGTTTTGTGTTTTATCTTTTTATTTTGGTTTTTATTCTGTCACTTCTCCATCTCTTACACGTAGCTTATGTCCCTTTTAACATCCCCCCATCAGCCCCCTCCTCCTCCCCCTGCCTCTGCCTCACCCTCTGCTGTTCCCAACGGCCCCCAGTCTCCCAAGCAGCAAAAGGAACCCCTCTCCCATCGTTTCAACGAGTTCATGACCTCCAAACCCAAAATCCACTGCTTCAGGAGCCTAAAGCGTGGGGTAAGTTCTCCTCTGGATACCTCTCTCTCTCTTTTTCTCTCTCTTTCCTTCTCTTCTTTCTTTCTTGCGCTTTTATTGCACGTTCTGTTATGTAAAGTTTTGTTTTGTGAATGAACCCATCGTGTTTTATCATAATATGCAGACAAATCCAAGGAATCCCAACCTGTAAAGCCATTGGTAGTCAAAACCCCCACAGTGAAACCACAAAAAGTACAGTTGCTGATGGAAATTACCCATTCAGGTTTTCTGGGAAGGAAGGATTGACCAGAGCATGGGAGGAAGAGCTGAACATGAAGTGATGCTCATGTAGAAGTCAAAGTCATGAATTTAGTAGCCCTGCATGTGTCTGTGGCAGAGCAGGCTGGAGGAGCACCATTCAGAGGTTTGCTCTGATGCTGCATCTTGTCTACCTTAATGGGAAAAGTTTTCATTTGTGTCAGAAGGAGGCAAATCAATTAGGGAGGGATTCTAGAAAATAATTCTGACCTCAGCTGGTGGAAGTTCAGACATTGATCTGACACCTCTTGCTGTAGTAGTGGGAAGATGATTTCCCTCTCTTTCATGACCAAGCACACCTCTGGGTGCCACTTCTGTTCCAGGGACTTGGCCTTGGCTTGTGTTTCAAGTGCTGTGATGTTAGCAGGCTTAGTAGGGCTGAGTCTTAAGATAAAAAAGCCAGGTGAGCTGTGACAGATGAACTGACTCTAGGTGCTAATCAAGTTGCTTGTATGGTACATGTGTGCTTTAAACCAGGGCTGCCCTGCTGATGGGGACTGAGCACATACACTGAGTTTTGTGTTCCCTGCAGCTACCTACATGTATTGATTACAGTTGGCTCTAAAGTGGGCTGACTCTTCTCAAGGACCTTAACCACATCCTGCAGTGTGAGGTTTCAGTAAGATAGGAAGGTTTGATTTTGTTCCTGTAGAGAGCCTAAGAAGCCCTGCTTCCCAATAAGTTTATCATGTCTGCATTTGAGCCTCCTTGACGTGGCTTAAACAGCTTTTAAAGTGTCCATAGAAAAGCTTTTAAGCCTGCCCTGCTCAACTTTTTCTCATCAGTTTTAAATATTTTTGCCACAGTCCTTATTTATTTAAATGTCAATGAAATGTCTTCACAGAAATACAGAGTTCAAAAGCTATTTGTAATGGCCACTAACAGCTGCCATTCTTGCAAAGTGTGAAGGGAAGACATCACGAGTTTAATAAACATTATGTGATGAACCATTGCAAAGCTAGGAAAAAAAAATCACATTCCATGTTTGGGTTTTGTCTGTGCAGCCTCCCCTGGGTACATTAGGATACAGAACTGTGGACCAGCAGGTGTTTTTTGGGGCATTTCCCATTAAGTCCACAGATATTGTTGGTTTCAGAACTGCCTTTCACTTCCCCATGCTCTGATGCACACAGTTTAAACTGATACTCTGTCTGCAAAATCTGTCATCAGTGCAGCACGCAAGCTCCAAAGCAGAAATGATCTTTTGAGGGATCAGGATTTGGATTTTTCCCCAGGAGCAGCTGAAGTGCAGTGTGTTAGGTGCTGGTTTATGTGTTTACAGTGCAGATAACCTGAGAGCCTTCATGGCTGACCCCAGGGATTCACCTGGGTCTAGATAAAACTGAATGAACCTTTTAGGGCACATCACCACTTGTTCCAAGTGCAGTGTCCCTCTGTCCTTGGCTGCTGATCACTTCCCAGGTCAGCTGCTCTATTCCTGTCCTTATCAGCAGCTGTGCCTATCTTGATAAACTGGTATTGAAGTGTTTGTGTTGAATTAAATGCTCTTGGTGGTGGTCTTCATAAGCAGTAAGTAAAATGACAGGTCCTTGAGATAAAACTTTGAAACAAAAAGACTTTATCTTCCCAGAAGCTCACATGTGGCACAGTTGTGCTAAGAAGTTGCTGAAATAGCATGGCTTTGGCCCCTAGGTTAATGTCCTTTAGAATTATTTCCTCCTATAAAAATTACAGGAAGGAGATGCAAATGTCCAGTATTTTACATTTGTCAGAGCAGGCTGTAGCAGCAAGGAAGTGACTATTTTAAAAAGCCCAAATTCTGCTCCAGGGACTGCACTGACATTTGGGGCTGAGGGCTGGAGTTGTGTAAAAGTCAAGATTATTTCAGTGGGGAACTTCAGTGGTTAATTACAGAGAATTGACAGTAGTGCTGTAAACAATATTGTTTCATCTGGTTGCAGACAGTACATTAAACAGAAATAATGTTTTATACAGAGTGGTTTTTAGTTCTTTGGTGGGGAATTGCCATTCAATGAGACATTCAGAACCAAGAAAATCACATTTCTGGTGCTTTTCACTGGGGAAGCGGGAAGTTTCTAAGTTGTCCAGGGACAGGTTCTGTACATGTACCTCTTTCCTTCCACTGCAGTTGGGCTCAGAGCAGCTTTTCTCAGTGGCTTTTATGGGGGAGGAAACAAACAAGTCTCTCAGTTCTGCTTCTGCAGCAGCAAACCTGGGGGATATGCTAGGCAGGGGCTGTCCTGGTGGCACCCACCATGACACTTGGGAGAGGCACTGCTGGGAGTGAGGGTTTGTGTTGGGATTTAGTGCTCCAGCAGTGCCATTCACAGGACTGAAAATAGTGCTGAATATTTGAAACTTGATCTAAAAATAGCAGCCTGTAGTTTCTTGAGTGCTTCAGAAGTTTGTATTTCAAATATACAAGGTCTCATTTAGTGAGTATTTGGCCTTAGAAACAATTATGACTAATGGCTTTAGTAGTTCCTGTAGAATGCCATTATTTTATATATTAACTGAGTAGTCCAAGTGGGTCATATGAATCCTCTGCACTATATTGCTTTTAATTGGTTTGTGCAAAAGGTGAAATAATGAGAACAATTTCCTATAGCCTTCTCTGGAATGCCTCAAATTTCTGCTGACACATTAATTAGAAATGTGGAAGGACAGGGTATTGCTAAATCTCCATTTAAACCTTTCACTTTGTTTTCTTTCTATTTCATTTCCTTCCCCTGTAGCTACCAGGATGTTTGTGTGTAAATCCTTTTCCTGCCTGACTCATGCCCTAGAGTTGGAAACCAGTGTTCAGATCATCATCTCTTTTTTTCCAGAAGGGCAAATTCAGGCCACTTGGTTCATCTAGAATTATTGAAGTAGGAGAGGCTGCAAAACTCTGGTAGATTACTCTGTCTGTTTTGAAGATATGTCAAATTCACATTCATAGGTCCTTGGTGATTTGTTAACAACTGGCCAGAGTAAAAGGTCATGAAAATGCCACCTGACCTTCAAAAATAAAGTAATTCTAACCAGGCAAAGATAAATCAAGAACCGCCCTCAAATCCTGTTAGTTTATCAGATGAAAAATGAGTGGTTGGCATGTCTTGCAGCTGATGTGGTTGATATGACCCACTTTATATTCAGTACAGCCAGAAAATACTGTTAATTCTGCTTTTACTATATTAAGTTTTGTAAGGTTTCCCTTTCTCAATTCCTTTCCCATCCTCCTGCCAAGTCCAAAAGCATTTTGCTGAGGATAATGAGCAGTAATATTACAAATACTGTCCTGGGATGTTAAGAGGGACCTTGTCCTCTACACAGAAGAACACTTGATCTGTGCAGAAATACATCAGTGAAGCAACTTTTGGGAAGGTCATGCAGGGAGCCAGCAGGACAGCACAATGTAATGGGCATTTGGCTTTGGACGCTGAATAATTTCTTCTGCTCTGAATAGTGTCTCAGCACTGCTCATTCTGTTCAAAGACAAAATTCCAAAAAAAGCCAGACACCTTGATGGTAAAGGTGACCACAAGGCATTTCAGGTATTTCAGGGTATTCAGCCAAATTGTCAAGCAGGTCCTTCCTGGCTTTGTTGTTAAACTGAGTTGTTGACTCCTACAAAAGGGTAACAATTTATTCATTTCAGAGGAAACTGGATCATACTCCTTTTTTGCACTGGCTCAAGGATGAAGTGTAGGCAAAGGAGCTACTTAATGTTAACAAGTCCAGTACCTACTAAGAGCTAAACAGGATAAATACCAGCAGCAGAACTGCAAATTGTAATTGATCCTTGAAACATGAGTGAGTGATTGGATTCCCATACAATTCCTCCATGAAATCTTTGATACTAGAATGTGTCTGGAGAGGGAACGTGTTTTAATAATTTTCTTACAAAGTTTTGGTTTAGCATCTTTTGTTGCATTTGGAAAGAGAAATTACGAAACTGAAGTGGAAAAGTCACTGGTGACTGTTAAAATGAGTTACATAATTAGTAATGATATGTCCTGTGCCCTGTCTGGTTTTAATTTTGCTTCCAAACAAAAAATCCAGTGAATCTTGTTTTTGTGGAAGGAAGCAGCTGCCTGAACAATTTACAACAGATGCAAGATTAACGAAGAGGTGCCAAAACCAGTATCAGTGGTCACTGCCAATAAGAAACCCTAGTCTGTTCAAAAATTTAGGTGTGGAGTCTTGTCAGTGCTATGGTTTTCTAATCACATTGTTTTATTTTCCTCCAAGCCTCTGCTAACCCCAACAGGAGAAATGTCCATTGTAGAAAATGCTGTAAAACTGTTACAGCACTTGTCATGGATCAGAACTAAAGGAAGGAGCAGAAAGAGAGCATTTTCACCATTTTTTCTCACTGCTGTTTCTTTTAAAAGGCAGTATGAAAATAGTATAACACTGAAAATCAACTCTGTCTCTTTAGGGAAGTTAAAGGCAGAGGAGTACAAAAAATGAGGAACCACTTGCATAAGTTATAATTTCATTTATGCTTGCTCTGCTTTTTCTAATTCCATTTTGAGGACAAAGAAGACTTGGTATTCTGCTCGTTGAGATTAATTTTGTGTCCTTTTGTTTTATTGCTATAGCAGCAGTAACATCAGCACCTTTATTTAAAGAGCAATACTTCTGAACTAACAAAATCCAGGGGTAGAACTTACACCTTTGAATTACTGTGTGGTGCAGACTTGCCTGCCCTCCCGTGCCTCAGAGACTGGGTTGTGATGAAGCAGAGAGGATGGGTCTGGGAGTGGGACACAGATATTGCTGCCATTACCCAAGTTCCACCCTCCAGACAGTTCCATAACACACGCCGAGGGACTTTTGTGGTTTCCTTTTTAGTGGAAGTTGTTGACTTCATTACAATGTGATTTTATTTCCATTGCACCAGTTATTGTTTTCCCTCCCCTCTTGCCTCTGTGACACACTGTACAGTCTCCTCCCTGACTGGGAGCTGTTGGTCTGTCTGGGTGATCAGTTCTTTGTCCTGTGTGCATGCAGAAACAGCAAACAAACCAAACCACCCCCCTCTTGTACCCACTCTGTTCCCTGTCCTGGCAATACTTGTTATTTTAACATAAATGTATAAATCTGTGCCAAGACCAGGAGTTTTTTGGCAGGTGGGGTTGTTAAAGCCGTGGTTTATTCTAGCACAGATAGAGATGTTTTCTGACCTTGTGTGTTTTAAGCTAGCATTTAAAAATATGGTATCTTTTGATTTTTGTGAGAATGCTAAACTCTTAAAATTCACGTAGTCACTAGAAATCTCCCACTTTGCACTTAAAGCTAGTTAAATGCCAAGCTGTCTTTTGCTATAGAAGCAGTAAACACAAGAGGTGCCGCGCTCGTCTCCAGTGTAACGGATGTGTGTTTTCTCTTGCTGACTCACCAGCAGACACAGTCTTTGTATATTCACAAAGAACTCATGAAGAGGACTTTAGGGACACCCACGTGTGCCGTTGAGGCTAGGGAATACGTTGTAAGTCTGTGTATGGTGTGATCAGCCCATACCGTTGCTACACAGTCGCTAACCCCACTTACAACGCTGTTAGTGTGCTGTGGAAATGTGCTTTGTGCAAGAGAAGAGGAAAATTTGGGAGGAGGCAAGTTGCAGCTTACTGTGGTATGTGCAGGAACGATACATCTGCTAGTCCTGGAAATGCTGAAATTGGCACAACTGAAGCAGCTGGACCTGTGAAATTTGGAGTAAGTGCTGCAAACAGGGTCCGTGCATTTCTTCTAAATTATTTAATGAATCAAGTCTTGAGCATCCTGAGCTAAGCCCTGAGCAGAGTCACCTTCTTTGCCTTTGTTGTGGAGCACTCCTTAGAGATCTCTGAAGCTTCCCTGAACTCTCTGTAATGATAGTTCATGGAATCAAGATATGTGACCTCTAAATCCAATACGCAGATAAAGCAAAGTACAGGGAGACTGTTCCAGGACCACTGAGAAAGAAAACAACCTCCTGGTTGTATGGAAGTGCAGTGACTTGTTTAATTTCTGTAAGTGAGGTTAGTGTCCGTGACTGTCCAATAACACATGGACTTGCTGGCTTTCATGCTCTCTCATGTGTTATTGAAGCTTGTGGCTCTTAGGCTCTTCCATTTTCTCCCTGCAAGACCAAGCTAGATTTGTTTTAAATCAACCACTTGGAACAGATTTGCTCGTTATGAAGAAATGTAATTTATTTGGTAACTTGGGGAAAACTGTCCCTGTTCTCCCAGGAGCTGTGAGCAAGTTTGTAGCTGTGAAAACCCAGCAGAATGGGCAAAAGTAGTTATTTAGTGTTCAATGCAGATTCATTTTCAGTCTGCTTGTATTTGTTTATAGAAACTGAATCACTGTCTTGTAAAATTATAAATGCCTTTCAGAAATGGAAACCTGTGAATATGACTTATTTCAGCATTTCATTGTTTCCAGTCTATGAACTGCTTTCTTATTTATACTGGTCATAACAATCCCTGATGTCCTATTTGGAAATGCTATTAATAAGTTCTCTATTTTTGTCATACTTAACAGCATAAGAATTTGGCATAAAGTGTCCGTAATCCCTTGAAAATTTGCTGGATTTACAGCAAAAAAGAATAGTCTTGATGCAGATGATTCTTCGCAGTAGTTGTAGCGCCTTTAGACTTGAGTAGTGTCTAGAAAGTAGAGCATGTAGCATACATTTGTGCCTTTCTAGAGTGCTTCATAGGTAAATATTTATTCTGCACCATGAGTCTTGTCTGTTTACATGTACAAGGATCTCAATTTGTGCTGATCATGTCTATGCTAAAGTTCACACGAGTCCTAAAGCAATTCTGCAAACAAAAGCTGCCTATGCTGAGTTTCTTCAGCAGTGTGTTTTGGCTCCTTCTTTCTCCTTCCTGTAGGATTGTTCTCTCAAATGGATTCGGTTTGTTTGCTTTTTTTAATGGCCTCGTAGCTGAGAGTGAATTTATCCCTTGCACAGTGATTATTATAATGTGTTTACTTCCTAATGGACTGAACTTCAGAGGGAAGTTTAACTGCTGCCTTCAGTGCATCCGTTCAAATGGAGTATTTCACTATTTACATCAAGGCCACAGATTTTCCTTGAGTGGTTGCCATGTATTGTTGCACAAAATCTGGTGACTAATGGTCAATTGTTAATTTTGAAAAAGAAAGGTATTTCTTAAAATACACTGTGAAAAACATGGTAGATGTGGAGCCACCTTTACTTTCAAACCAATCTGAAGGAACTGTGCTTTTGCTAAAAATGAGGCATCTCAGAGCACCAAACGGGGGAGCTGTTGGTTCTGAACTCACAGGGAACTCATGGATGGCAGGAGGTTCAGAGGTCTCAGAGTACAGATCATTGCCTGCCACGAGAGGCATTTTCCAACTGTGACGCCCCAGGTGTCTTTACCACCAAGCACAGACATTTATGCACTCACAAGTTTGTTGCACAGTTTGAGCAACTGTCCCCAAAGAACTGGTAGGACAGGCCCAGTGCAAACTGCTGGAGGAGGCGGCTGGGTGCAATTTTGATTGTCCCCTTAAAATCTAGTGTTATATCTTGAACACCAGCTAATTTGTGCTCCTTGGTGTGGGGCAGAGAGGCACTGTCACAGCTGGTTTCCCTGTTTCTTGGAAAACCTTCTGGATTCCAGCTGTTGTAACATCTTGCAGCACTGGAGGAGGCTTTGGTACTCTTGGGTTGTTGGCTGCCTGGGCACATTTTTTTTTTACCTGGCAGTTTCTGAGGCTCTCCAGTGCTGTTGAGAGGTGAATGTGCGAGTGATAGAGGGCAGAGGCAAACTGTGCTGCTGTGAAGGCTCTTTAAACATTCCCTTCTTTTTAGCCTGACTTTCCCAGAGTAATGAAGAGATAATGCTTTGGCTCCCTACCAGGAAATGTGGTAACCTTTGAAGAATTAGATCATGTAAATCGTTTAAGGAGCTTGAATAATGCCTTACCATGCTGTCATAGAAACAATTTGATGTACAGAGAAGAGATTTTTATCCTCCTCCTTGATCCTGACCTTGGCTGACTAAATGGCCAAAAGTACATTTGAGACTATTTGGTTTTGGATGGTTCAAGAGCATGGGATGACTTTCTGTGACTGCCCAGACAGCACTTCATGCAGCTATGCCTACAGGGACGTTTCCCTGTGGACATAAGACAGAGAGCTAGGAGATCACTGGAGATCCCATTGTGCTTTTTGCAGCTGGAGGCCAAAAAAAAGTACCTTTTCACTGGGTTTTGGCTGGATGTGTCTCCCTTTCCCTCAAGCCCTTGCAGAAGGGGGCTGAGATGCTCATGACTGCATTCCAGCACATTTGTAATCTAAAGTGAGTTGCATTTGCAAGTTCTGAGTTTTTTTCCACTTCAGAGGTGTTGCTTTAATGCCAAAAAAATTTAAAAATTTTTAAAAAGTTGTTATAGCAGCTGTAAACAGTCAACCCAGGCCAGATTTTCACCTGCAGAACTAAAGCACAAGTGTAGAGGTACCACACTGTGTCTGGTGAGGAAATGGCAGCTGACTCATGACACTGGCCCATCTTGTGAACTTTTGCACAGATCTGTTAGTGTTACCCATTTTGCCTTCCAACAGCAAGGGGATTGTGTGTCATTTGATTGTAACATTGGTCTGAAAAAGTTCCTCTTCTACTGATGCACTGTTTTTTCTTTCTCCCCCCCCACCCTATATCTCTCCAATTTTTACATGAAGCTTTCTCTCAAGCTGGTAAGCACATTTACAGCATGTCTGTCCTGTGTTTTTTAATCACAATTTTCTGTGTGTGTTTTAATGTGCACTGTGCCACGTATGAGATGACACTGAAATTAACTCTCAAATTTATTTCTCCTTTGTGTTTGCTTTTTTTTGATATTTCTCAGATAACTCTGAATACACAGGTCTGGAGTCTAATAGAGGTGATCAGAATTCAGTAATTTCTAATAAGCTGCTAAAATTAATTCTAATATATAGTGTAGTTTTCACTTTTATAATCTAGGGCTATGAAAATGTAGAAAAAACAGTACCAAGTAATTCTGCTACTGTACAAGTAGACATTAAAAGATTTAAAGAGTAATTAAATTAAGGTCTCTCTGCTTGCTGGACCTTTTCCAGAGAGAAATGCATGTTTTTTGTGTAACATAGCTGCAAAGTTTGCTTTCCATGTCCAGGTATTACTGGAAATTTGCATCATTACCACCTACATTTTACAGCCCTATGTAGTCCTTCAGAATAACTAATACTGATATTAATTAAAGTTCTGTAAACCTTAACCAACAAGGTTAACTCAGTCTGATTTGAATTCTCAAATGGAGCTATGAATCCTAAATTGTATCTTGGATGCAGCTGAGAAGGTTTCTTGAACCACGGTAAGATCATATGTTACTGAGTTGGAAAGGGAAGGGGTGAACATTTTTGGGAAAGCAAATTCTGTGCTGGACTTCATACACAAGTTACTCCACTGCTTGAGATACTCCACACCTTGATATGTTCCTAGCAGCTTGTCCACCTTCCTTTATGAGCCACAAGGAGAAGGTGACTGGTTTGCTGACACACTTCATGCCAGCATGCAAGAGCTACCAATGACTGATTGCAGTTCCAGAGGATCTGCAGTAGCACCTTAACTATGTTCACTTGAAAGTTCCCTTATTCCTCATCAGTCAGTGCCTTTAGGTACTCTCTGCCCCTACAGATGTATTCTTCTTGGGTACATCATTGTTCTGTTCTGTTGATTTGGAGGAGGCAGATGGGCTGTGAAAGCCCGTGCTCTAGGTCTGGAGGTTATAGGTCCTGCTGCTGCTCTGTCAACCCAGTGACTTGGTTGGGCTCCATTAGCAATATTGCTTCTTACTGAAGGCCTGTGGTGGGCCTGAGGGATGGTGGAAATCTCTACCTTATTTGCAAACCTTGTTCATTTGGCTGGTATCCCCATGCATTTATACCAGGGACTTCCAGTTGCTGTTTTCCTAGTCACAGTGCTAGTATGTTGTGTAGCTGAGCTAAGCCTTTGGATGTGGGAATATGTCTGATCTGGCCTTTCCCCAAGCATTACACAAATCAAAAAGATTTGCAGAGAGGGCTGAGAACCATGTGTGCCCCAGGCAGAGGAGATTGGCTTGTTTGTAATTTTCTTTGGGGTTCTAACTGTACCAGAGGCAAAACAGGCTGATAAACCGTATGCTTTCCCCATATGTATCTTCAGCCCAGAAACTGACCCTAACACAGCCTCTTTTTTCACAGTCCTTCATCTTGGGACAGTTTGCATCCTAAATCCCAGTGTCTTTGTGCCAGGAAATCTAGTGACACTGGCTCTGCTGATCCTCTGATAACACACAAGAATTAGCACAGATTTCCCCCCACACCTCACTGCTGAAGCATTTCTGAAAGATGTGTGCAATGTTCACTACTTGAGAGAGAGCCCAGGTGTGGTTTTGCTTGAGAGCATGAAATGTGCCCAGCATGTGCAAAAATTGCTCCTTGACATTTCCTTTTAGAGGAGGAACTGTAGCTTCTCTTTTATGATGGGAAGTTGAGCATGAGATGAAGTCTGAGTGAGATCACCTCCTGGTCTCAGGCAGGCATTTCTATGCACCACTAATGCTTTGGTCTGAAGCATTGTGAACACAGATTCTGGGTCTAGTCCAGCCTAGAGCTTTGGAATGAAGTTGAAGAATCAAAAAGAAGATGCTTTTCCAAATTCATTTGACTATATCTGTTGCAACCTCCTAATTGTGTAACTGGGGATATTGTCCATCCTCTGTCTCTTCTGCTTAGAGTTGAGAAGAATGTTACTCAGTCTGTCTCCTGTTTATTTACAAAGCTAGATCCAGGTGCTTTGCCTTAAAAAGATATATATATATAAATATATATGGCTTTAAGGCTCAGGTTATGCATAAACTATATTGAATCATTCTCATGTCTAATGTGATGTGGGAATTAGTATCAAGAATTAAAATAGATCTCCACTGTACTGTGCACAGCAGGTAATGTAAGCACTGCTAAGTCTTCATGTGGCTCCTGTTTCAGAATGAATGTAATTTACTTAGTAGTTTCCTTCATTTGTCTTCCATTTGCTCTCTCATTGTCTCATGAAATGGAATTTTAAGTGCATTATTACTGTTGATCAGGGCTTCTCTAGACACACATGCCATCTTTGACTGAAAATCAGTATGGCAGCAATTTCATTGGGTTTGCCTGTTCTGCTATTTTCAAACAGCTGGACCAGAGGAGAAGAGGACCTGTCTGTAGTTGTCCTCCATCCCTCTGACACCCACACACTTTCTAAACAGCTTGTTCTGCAAATGCAGAAGAAAGTGTGAGTGCACTGTCTCAGTGCACATTGAGTTCAGAGTTGAAAAGGTCTAATGGGCAGCTTTTCTGGCAGAGTTTCCACTAAATCACACTCCTCTGATAGAGGTTTAGCATCTTAGTAGGACTAATGGTGCAGCTCTGCTCACAAGCTTTCACTAAGCTGCTGGGCCATTGAATTTGGTTCCTCAGCTTTGTCTTTCTACTGTTCCTTCTCCCATAAGCCAGTACTATCCCTTAGGAATGAGATGTGGAATGAGCAAAACCCAAGAAAAACATGTACAAATTCAAGATAATGTACAAGAACCTCATTCCTTTATGCTGCAACTAATTAGTATTGATGTGTGTTCAGCATTGCCCACCCAAACTGCCCCCCTTGCCCTCCTGCTACACAAAAGTGGGTGGTACTGGGAAGAAAACACTGTGGATGTGTGATATGGCATCTATCTGCTGTATCAAACTGAGGCAAGAAGAGGCAGAGCAGTTTGAAGGCAGAAAAGGTTTTTTCAAGCAGAGTCATCCACAGGGTAGCCACTGTGGTCTTCAGATGGTTTTATTTTTGGTTATGATTTCAAGTGGACTGATTTTGTGGCTTTGTAACTCCTGATCTTATGCTAGTACAAGTGAGGGAGGTAAAAATGAGATACTTGGACATGGAATGTGGATTCTGGAAAGTAGGCAGCATGGTTTAATATTGCAGAATCCCAGAGGAGGCATTTCTATGACCTTAATGTGTTCAGGAGAGCCTGGACATAAGTTAGCTCCATGGAACCAACTCAGCCTGTCCAGAGTAAACCAGCAATGAGTGGACATGAGAAGTGAGACTGTGAGACAGGAGTAAAAGCTCTAGTGATGGCTTTTGTGGGGATGCTGTCTATAGCAGAGCAGGGGAAGGCAGGAAAGATCAGCTTTCCATTAGAATGGAGCTGTATTGAATAAAATTTGGAGGTAACTGGATAAAAAACAGCCTCTCAGCTTTGCTGTTGAATCCTGGTGTTATTTACTTGGTGATCTCCCCTTAGCCCATTGGTTTGGAAGTGGGATGTGGTCCTCGGATCATTTTTAAGGCATCCAGACTCCTAACCATTCAGGGGCTGGTAACTCTCAGTACCAATGATAACAATGCTTCAGACCATTGTGATTCTGCACACGTGTTTGTGAGCTGTTTTCCAAGTGCAATCCTGAAGGATTCTTTCAGGCTCTGATTTTTGTCTTATTTCTCTCCCCCTCCTACCTCTCTATTCCACTCTGTGCAGGGAGCAGGGCCAGAAGACTTCAGCAATCTCCCACCTGAGCAAAGAAGAAAGAAACTTCAGCAAAAAGTTGATGAACTGAACAAAGACATTCAGAAAGAGTTGGATCAAAGGTATGTCAAGCCTCTCCAATGAAAAATGAAATAGGTAGTTTCATATAGAACCAAAACAACAAAAATATAAGAAGGGGCAAATAAGAATACTGTTACAGGTTTGTTTAATGTGCTGTTGCAAGAAGAGAACCAGAATTTATGTATGGCTAAATCACACAGGAGATGCAAGGCACTCCACAACCCAGATGATTGATTGGTGTCTGTCTTAGGACCCTAATGTGTAGTTTGTTTCCTGGAAGCAGAAAGATAACTCCTGTGCTTTCGTGGGTGCTTTTTCTCCAAGACTGCATTTACAGAATCATAGAATGGTTAAGGTTGGAAGAGACCTTAAAGATCATCAGGTTCCAACCTCTCTGCTATGAGCAGGGCCACTGGTTGAGTGTTGGCTATTTTAGTTACACATTTTGTAATTGATTCAGGCAGCCTGTTATTTGTTGCTTTGTGTTTGTTCACATTCTGCAGCTGCATTAAAAATTCAGCATGTTATGTTTGCAGGAGACAGAACTTTTCCCTGAATAAGTTCCAGACTAAGCGTCTCCAATACTAGTCAGTCCCTAAATATTGCTTTGTATTTGTACAGATGTGCCTACATTTTCTGCTATCTTGCTTTGAGGACCTTTTCTTCTGTGGTAACTCACCTTTGTCTCTGTACAGCTTTTGCTTTCTGCTCTGTATTGATCCTGAGGCAACCCAACATTAGAGTTGGATAGGAAGTCAGAGTAGAATGAAGTAATTTTAAATAAAGATAGTACGTGGTTGAAGAAGTAGCACCAGAAGTTAAATAAGAGTTAAACAAATAGTAATAATTATGACTCATATGTTTGCAATATTGTCCCTTAGGGCTTTAACCACAGAGCTGTCCCACTTCCTTGCCACCCACACTTTTTCTGTGCACACAAAGAAAAGGCAGGCACAGGATTCCAATTGTCAGGAGTTTGGTGGGAAACTCTAAAATATAAAGAGTGTTAATTCAAGTCCTGGGACTCACATTAACCTTTCTCCCCCCAAGTAGTGCCTAGAGAAAAGCTGGATATCTGTGCCAGTAATACAGAAAATCATAAGCTCATAAGTCCACCCTCCTCTAAACTCTGAGATGTTCATCAGCAGGCAGATAACCTCTTTCTTTAAGTGACCATGAAAGCTCCACAGGATTTCCTAGGAAAGGAAAGGCTCCTGAAGGCCTGTACCATGTTCATCTTGGTCTTAACAGTACCACATTCAGGCCTTAAGGCCACATATCAGGCCTTAAGATTAACACCTCTGAAGCCCTGGGCCTTTGGCATCTTGGTTGCTACAAAACAGAGCCCCTGGAAAGAGCCCAGAGAAAATGCTGTGTAACTCCAGGGGATCCAGGGTCACCCTGTGTGGCCTCAGATCCATCTGTCACTGTCCTGTGACAAATGCAAACCATCTGGGTTTAGCTTTGTTTTCAGCAGTGTGAAATAAATATCTCACCAATTATTTGGGTTGCAAAAGGCAAATTGCAGCAGAGAGGGTGAGAATTTCTGGTTAGCACTCCATTTTTATTATTAATATGTTCACGTCCAGTTCTTTGTCCCAGTTTCTCAAGTGGATTTCAGCCCATAATGGAGAATAATGATGCAACTGTTTGCCTGTGCCCCAAAAACTGGGATGATGCTCATCTAGAAAGTTGAATCTGTCATTTGGTGCAGTGGTTGTGAGAGTCCTTGTTCTTTTTATTATTTTTTTTCCCAGGGTTAGCAAATAGATATTGTAGTACTAAATAAAAGAATGTGTCAAGCTAGAAGTCAACGCTAAATTCCTCCTTTTGGCTTGCAAAAATGCCACTGCCCAAGAGTCCAGTTTGCTTTTCCAGTAGGATTCTTCAAGTAGGACTTTGAACCATTTGGTCTAAATGTGTCATGTGCTTTTACTGACTCTGCACAGCTCCTGTGCAGCCTCAACCCTCTGCTCAGGCTCCTGCTGTCACCCTTCTTCCCACAAAGGACTCTCAGCTGCCTGCACAGTAAGAAGCTCCTTTGGCTGCAGGAGCCTGAAGAGTTTGGCTTGTGTTGTACAGTGTCTCTGTCATGTCACGTTGTAGCTAAAGGCTTTGCTCACTTTTTTCCATCTCTGACAGCAGAAATTCTTTCCTGGCAAGTGATGTTACTGTTGTTTTTTTAATGGCTGTTTCTATACAGAGTGAAAGCCCCTGTCTGGGTGTTCTCTGTTACCTTTCTAGGCTGGAACCACAGAGTGAAGAAGAGGCAATTTATTATCCTTCCATTTGGCAGCATTTAGAGAAAAAACATAGGCCCCAGTGGCACTAACACAGGTTTTATTTTTCTTTTGTCTTTCAGAGATGCCTTAACAAAAATGAAAGATGTGTACATCAAGAACCCACAGATGGGAGATGCAGCAAGTGTGGACCACAGATTAGCAGAACTTGGACAGAACATTGAAAAGTTACGAATAGAAGTTCAGAAGTTTGAGGTATGGGAAGAGACATTTCAGTAGAAAGTAGCTCAGCACAAGCTCAGTTCTAAGCAGATGCTTTGTTGCTTTCCCAGATGTATTGATACATTTTCTTACTATGTGTGGGTAAGTGCTGGTTAATTAAGCACTTATGTTAATTAAGATCTTTGAGCCTATTTGTGAGACATAAATATGCACCATCTCTCGTGACTGTCAGCCAACAGTCCTGCTATTTAATTTGTCACAGAAAACAAACTGGGCTAAGTGATGGATAAGAGAAAGTGTAGTGCTCTCTGGACTGCCCAGAGGGGCTCAGATGCTGATTTAATTAATCAAATAATTTGAAGCATCACATTACAGATGTCTGTGGAAAATCATAAACATAAATGCAAAGCACCACTTAACAGTAAGACAGAAACCACCTTCTCTGCCCCTCCTCATGTCTAACCTAAATCTCCTCTTTTCCAGTTTCAATCCATTACCCCTCTTCTTCCCACTGCAAGCCCTTGTCAAAAGTCCCTCCCCAAGTTTCCTGTAGCCCCTTCAGATGCTGGAAGGTGCTGAGGTGGCTGTTTCTGAGACTCCTATAAGCTGCCACATGTCTTATGTTACTGTGAGTAGAGCAGCAGCCACTCCCAGCAGCTGTTGTTAACTGCTTCGCTTGGATCACAGTATTTTCAGCACCCAGTGTCAAAAAATGAGTTGTTTTTTTCAGCCAAGTGTGTTTCTTGGCAAGACTGACAGATTTCATACCCAGCTGTGGCGCGGAACCCCCTGCCCCCAACAACCGCAGCTCGCAGGAGTTTACGACCTGCTTTTCCCTCCCGTAGTCTGAAGGTCAAACAAAACCCAGCCAAGCAGAAGCAACACTCCCTTGGGTGAGGGGAGGCAGGAGAGGTCTGAGCTGCTTTTTTCCCCCCCAAACCAGGGCTGGCTGGCAGAGGTGGAGGGCAGGCTGCCAGCACGCAGCGAGCAGCCCCGGCGGCAGAGCGGGCTGTACGAGGCGCAGCACAGCCCGGCGGTGAACAGCTGCGCCCAGGACCGGGAGAGGTACCGTATCTGTGCTGGGCTGGGGCACCCCTGGGGCTGGGACACCCCCCACACCTTTCTCCTGGGCTGCTCAGTTGAGAAACTGCAGCTCTGCAGACTTTCAGGAGCTTTGCAGCCAGGCTGCTCGCTGAAGCACCTGGTTTTCAAAGTCCGCAACTTTTCGAGCTGCTTTTCTGGGTCTGATGAAACTTGTGACCCCCACACTTGTCCCTGGGACAGCTTGATGAGGGGAAAAAATGTCTGGTCTTGCCCACCTTCTGGTGGTAACAGCCAGTTCTGAGCATCCTTTGGAGTTGCTGAGCTGCTGCAGCTGCAGTTGCTTACCTTGCCTTAAGTGTCAGGTAACCAAGTCGTTCTCCTTGCTCCTGAGAGCTGGTTGCTATAGTTGCTGTGTATTTTCCTCTCTTGAGCAGCCCAGATGGCAGTTACACAGAAGAGCAAAGTCAGGAGACTGAGATGAAAGTACCTTCAACAGATTTTGATGATGAATTTGATGATGAAGAACCACTACCCACCATAGGAACATGTAAAGCACTCTATACTTTTGAAGGTATCTTTTAAATTTACTCTCATTTCACTTACTGCTTTCTCTAGTTCATATGCCAAGGACAAGTGGGAAACCTTCATTTAAGCGCTGCAGAGCTTCAATAGGCAATGAAAAAGGGCAAGTGAAGTTCTGTCATGATTCTGTTTTGTGGAGAGGCACCAAGACAGTGATTTGGCTCCTGTTATGCAGGAACTCTGCAAGAAAAAACCCAGGACTCTGGTGTTAGGATCACATCTATCTGGTTCTTTGTGTGCCTGTTGTTGTCTCCAGAATCATGTGCTGTTGTTATTCCTGCCCTGGTGCATCAGCCTTGTCACCAAGTGTGCCCTGAGCACCCTCCACTGCCTCCCTGGGTGTGCAGGGCAGCCTAAACTCTGTGTTACTGTGTCTTTCAGGTCAGAATGAAGGAACCATTTCTGTAGCAGAAGGAGAAATGCTCTATGTAATAGAAGAAGACAAAGGTGATGGGTGGACACGAATCCGAAGGAATGAGGATGAGGAGGGTTATGTCCCCACCTCCTATGTTGAAGTCTATTTGGACAAAAATGCCAAAGGTGCTATGACTTATATTTAATACTATTATTATTACTTTATTTACTTTCACAGAGATACCCACCTCTGAAACTGCTCTGTGTTGCAGATGGAGCCTTTTAAAAGTCTGTACAATGCCACAAGGTGCATTATTTCATATGTGGACTAATACGGCTTTTGTTGGGCTACAAAATGTGCTATTTATTGATCAGAGGAAGGTAGAGTGGTAGACTGTAACAGTAGAGGGGAAACACAGCCTTTCCAAGACAGTGCTTGTTCAACTGTCACTGCCTCTGCACGCCCAACAGTGCAGGAGGCTCAAAACCTTTGTGAGTAACATGGGCTCTCCTCAGATGGTGGCATCTCAGACACACAAGTCAGCTGTTTGTTCCAAACTGATTCAGTGGAATGTTACATAGGAAATATTTAAATTGGTGTTTTGTGTCTTAGTGTGGGAGCTTTTCAGAGCTTAATGTGTCCCATGGACCTTTTGGATTGACACCTGGTTGTTGTTGAGTTAGTGTGTTTCGAAAGGGAAGGAGGGATCTTGCAAAAACCTGTCTGCACAGCACTCTGTGGTCCTTGATAAATCGATAAAACATTAAGAAAGGTTCTCAATTCTTTCCTACCTTTGTACACTTCAGAAGATTTATTTGTTGTTTCAGATGACCACAATTAATGGTTTAATCTTTTCCTTGCGCCAGATCAATGGAGACATTCAGATCTCAGACTCAGGAATCTGTTTTGTTGTTGCTTTTAACTCCTCACCAACAGGGGTGCTGTGTGAGCAAGTAGTGCTGCAGGGGAGTCCTGGTTAGAACATGTGCCAGCACCCTGAACACCTGCTGATGGAACACAGAGAAATCAAAACATTTTAGTCCTGTTTCACATCAGGATGTGTTTGAAGTCCACTGTTAAATAATTTACATGGGGTTTTTTCAGTCACTTAAACCTTCAGATTATTGTTGTGTTTCCTAGACTTCGGTGTTCTTGGTGTGAATCAAGTTGCCTCATCCAATTTGAAAGAAAACTGAACCTTTCTCACTGGGATTTATGGGCAGTAGGAGGAAAGGAGCAGGACTGTCTCTGTAAACAAACACTCTGACTTGATCAGTTCACTGTCTTGGATTCCATGTGGAACAGCAGAGTGCCTGGTCTGCTGCAGATGGAAGTCTGGGCTCTTGTTTTATTTTGCCACAATAGAGTAGCTTGATATGTTTGTTTTGGCAGATACAGGGTCAATGGAGATGCACAAGAGTTCAAAAAGCTCAGCCTTTGTTGTCTTTTATTAACCTTTGAAAGAGGAATGTGGATTGTACATCTTCCTATTGAGAACAAGGCAGAAAGCACAGGATGGGAGATCCCATCTCTTACCCTGGTGTTCTCCCCTGTGGAGACTGTCTGCTCTGTGTGTGGCACTGGTTGAAAGCAACATGATTATCCTGCTGGAAAATGTGTTGTTCAGCACTGTGGGCTGCTTGAAACAGCTGAGTTAGGGTGGCATCTGCATCTGTCTGGAGGAAGAAGCAGGGCTGCCTTGCCTGCAGATCACCCAGTTACCAGCAGAGCAGCAGGTTGGGTGGGCAGTGAAGCAGTGTGTCTCTGGAGGGGTTGAGAAATCCTGGCACACCCCTGTTATCTGGGCTAGCAAAATAACTGTCTTTCCTTTACCCTTCTGAAGAGAATATTGCAGTACCAGCCAGAAAATCATATATTAGTATGTTAATGGTGTTCTGTAAGTTACAGGGTGATGCTGAATGATGGTGAAAATGCAGTTTATGCTGGGGGGTGGGGGTGGGGTGTGAAGGCTGATGCAGCTGCAGCCACTTCTCTAGCAACAACAGAGGTTTTTCAGATCCGGTGAAGTTTTTCAATTCATTTTGCTGGACTTCAGGAACAAAACCCAGTGTAGCTGTGAATATCTAATGTAAAGGAACAATAGTATTTACCTCTCCTTATTTCTCAGTTCTCTAGTTAAGAAGAAAAGCTACAAGAAAAAATTTCCATAAACTGTCCCAGTAGCAGGATAAAGATTTGGGGAAAGTGTGACTGTGTTTTAAGACAAACTTTGTTGCAAGACACCAATTTCTCATTTGACTTTTAATATATTAGTAGAAGTGGCTTTATCCAATTCTTGAAACAAGCTACAAGGCTCCTGAAAATGACCCTCTAAATACTAAAGCACTTGAAAACTTCAGTAGATCTTTCCTCTTTTTTGGGAAGAGGGTTGAGCAGCTGGTACCTCCTGAGTCTCAGTTGCAGGAAGGGTGGGAGCGGTTACACCAGCTCAGAGCTCATCTTGGAGCCAGCAGAACCTTCTGGCTCAGCAAGAGCCAGGTGAGCATCAAAAAGGCAGGGACAACCTCTTGTCACTTGTGCTCTGTGATAGGATATGGGGCAATGGATCCAAACCTGAGCACAGGAAGCTCCACCTCAACATGAGGAAGAACTTCTTTCCTGTGAGGGTGACAGAGCCCTGGGACAGGCTACCCAGAGAGATTGTGGAGTCTCCTTCTCTGGAGACTTTCAAGACTTGCCTGGATGCCTGTCTGAGTGACCTGCCCTAGTTGTGTGTGGGTTTTTGGTGCTGCTCTGGCAGGGGGGTTGGACTTGATCTTCAGAGGTCCCTTCCAGCCCTGAATATTCTGTGATTCTGTGAACTACTAAATGCTTTGTGAAAAGCCAGTGGGGGCCTTCTCAGTCAGCTGCAGCCTGCCTTGCCAGGACTCTGCTGCCAAACCTGAGGGGATGAGGTCAGGTAAGTGTTGTGCTGCACTCACCTGCTTCTCGTGGCCTTCATGGGAGCCCAGCCAGGCCTGTGTACCCCTGCAGCTCCCTGTGTGAGGGTTGGTTGTGCACCTGACACTGGCACCCTCTAGTCAGTGGGTGTTAGCAAACCCTATCACAACAAAAGAACAGTAAATCTATCTTGTTTTGCCTTTTTTTTTTTTTTATCCCCAGATGTGTACAAATCACTTCAGAAAATCTCTGAGTAGGTTTGCATGGGCCTGTTCACCTTTTATTCTCCTGGTTTGCTGCCACAGTTGTTTTAAGAGCTCTGTTTCAGAAGGTTTTCTTTAGAAGAGATGAAGGCACATGTCATGTCTCCAGCAGTGGAAGACTCTGTTAGGGACCTCTCACCCAGCTGGTGCATCTAGAGAATGTAACTGTGCATCAGTGCCAGTGAAAGTGTGACTTGAGTTGTCACCAGCACTGTTGTCCTTCCTCACAGAAAGGAGAGCCAGCAGGGTTTGCTCTCTCTGAGATGCGTGCAGGAAACTGTTCTAAATGCTAAAAAAAACCTTGCAAACTAGGAATTTGATCTCTGGGATGTAAAGTCTTGTTTTGGGGCTTATGCCAGCCTCTCAGTGGTAGGGACAAGGACAGAAGCTCCTCTCTGCACACCACACTGGGTGCAGCTTCTTGCAGGGCTTTTCTGCACCTGCCAGCTACCTGGTGCTGACAACTGTCCAACACAGGAACTGTAGTTGAGTCTTTGTGCTCAAGATTGACCATACTGTGCTGTTGAATACGGTACCTCATCATCTCCTTGGGAACAAAACGGGGGGAGGTTGGGAAACAGTGTGATACACAAAAAGGCCAGTTTCATGTAAACTCTCCATGGGACCCAACAAAAAAAATGCCACGTTCACTTCCACCAGCATGACTGGCTCTCTGGGTGACATGCAAGGAATAGAGGCTGTTTTGTGGAGCTTAATGTCCTGATCAAAACACTTTGGAGCTGTGGGCTGATGGGCATTTCAGCTCCTTGGCCACTCTGGGTCTGTTCCTCCTCACCTCCAATTATCTGAAAAAATCCTCTGTGGTTCTCAGGGCTGCAGCTCTGCTGTTCCTTTGCTGTCACCATCATGCAGAGCCCTGACTTATATAAATAAATAGGCAAACATTAACCATGCTGATGCACTTTTTATCTAGGATATATTTGGTTATTTAATGCTTGCCAAATTAAGTAGGAAACAGTAGTTATAAACTGGACTGTGGCTTTTAAAAATCCTTTTGTTGAAGACTTGCCCTTAGTTCTCCCAGTTTAAAAATAAATTGTATATAGCATAACTTAAGAACTAAAGTTATTTGGATTGTTTTTATCCTTTTATATATGTATAAATATAAATGGTTTTATAGTCTGTTCTTAACCTTGCTGTTATTTTGATAACTACTCAGTTCCTCTCATGTTGATAAGTGGTTTTGGTTACTCAGCTGCCTGCATCTGGTTAGACTTGCATAGAAACTTCTTGCTTTGTGTTAAGGTTTGTTTAAATCTGGCCAGTGTGGTTGTTTTGTTCCTATTCTTATTTTTTAAAGAATCATCATCTGTCAGGAATCTTTTTATAGCTTGATGTACCATGGTGTCTTCTTCTAATAAACATTCTATTTTCTCATTCCTCTGAGTTTTTTTTCCTTCATGGCAATTCATTCAAGTTTAACTTTACTAAGGGAAAGCAAAGGGCCCAGAGCTGCTTTTCACCTGCTTCCCACACAAAGTACAAATGCCATTTCTTTTCAGGAAAAAATAGTTTATTGTGGCTCTGTGAGAACTTTCACTATGCTGTCACTTGGAATTTTAACTTGTATGAAAATGAGTGCAGAGGAGATGGGAAGGTTCCCCTGCTCTCTCAAATGCTTGGATTTGCCCTCTATTTCCTTGGATAGGCTGGTTTCTTGGCCAAATCACATTAGTGAATTGGAGCTTCACTTGGCCCCAGAGGAAACTTGCCCTCAGGCTCTGGGTACAGGAACATGACAAAGGGTGGTTTAGAGGCTGCTTTCACTTACCTGTTTATTTCTGCACTGCCCTTAGAATGAAAGGTCTTTGCAGCCTGTTGTGGGTAGGGTGAATAGTCTGGGTCCACAAAATTCTTTGTTTTACCTTCCTTAAACAGTATCATTCTTGGTCTCTGGAGCTGTCACCTGAAGACACACACTGCTTGGCAGGCTGGTTGTTTTTCTCTGCTGCATTAAGAAGGTGCTGCAGGGTCTCCCAGAGGAGAGCAGTGTCCCAGTGATGCTCATCTTCAGGCTGAGGGAAGGGATGATCTGTTTGAGGCTTGCAGTGGAGTTCAGGAGCATTCCTTAACCCCTTGTAACCTGGTAGATGCTTGGATGCTGTATTTCCTTTAACCTCCTGCAGTGCTGCTCTTAAGGGATCCTGTTTTCCCCAGCCTCTTTCTAATCAGGTCTCTTTCTTTTTGTCTTTCTTATGTTTTAGATTCCTAAAGGTGTTTGTGCTGGTGCAAGAACCTCGGGGCGAGCTTGTCACAGAAGGAGAAACAAAATGGTCTGTTTACCCTGCAGGCAGTTAAAACACACCCATGGAAAACCAGACTCCCAGTCTTGTCTGGAGTTCCCACTTGAAAAATTCAGAATAAATTCCATCCCAGCACCATTCAGATGCTTGCTCTTCCCCATGGCATGTTACCTGTGGCTCAGATCCACTTCCCAGCCTTTCCCACTCTCCTGCCAACCTGGCACAGCCCCTCTATAAAACCACCAACACTTGCCCCCCCACCCAGCTCCTCCCAGCACCGGTTGAAGAACTGCTGGCTGCCCTCTGATGAGAGAGTAACCAGAGTCCCAAGCATGTTCTGGTCTGTCTTCTGTCCTCCCTTGTCCCTCAGTCCATCTGAATGTATACACTGGTCCATCAGCATTTCACACCGTGCCTTTAATGCTAATCCTGCATTAATTAATTAATCCATCACCAAATAGTAGCTTGGGGGGAGGTGTGTACACATGGAAAGCCTCCCCTGGGAACAGTGATACAGCAGCTGGACTGGGCTCTGAATTTGCAGATATTAAATTTGATCCACGTGCATTATTCAATATTCTGCTTTCCCCAAAGGTCACTAATACTTGTCAGCCTCTATTTTTTTTTAAATCTAGGCTGATGCTCATCCCAAGTATTAAATCCCTCTGAGCTTGCTGTTTCCTGAAAGCCTTCGAGCTCACGTATGTACGCTTGTTTTCCTGCTTGTTCTCTTTGCCTCCTCCTCTTGTTTCCCTTCCCTCCTCTGTCCCTCCTCTTTCTCACACACACACAGACACACACAGACAAACACAAGACACTGGCATTTTGGTTGGAAGCCCCATTTTGCTGGTCACAAAGGCCTCCGTTTTGCTCTCGTTTCAGTCTGCATGCTCGCCCTGTTGCCTTGCCTGCGCCCACCTTCCTGAGGGCCACGCTGGTTGGTGGCCCCTTGGTTGTTCATCTCTTTGCAGTTTCCTTTTTGTTGATTTGTTTTTCAGCATTTCAGACCTGCCTTCTTCTTTTGCATGACCTCCCCCTTGTGCGTTCTCATCAGTTCATGTTTGCCTAACAGAATTTTCTTAGAAAAAATAAAAGAGAAAAAGAACAAAAGAAACCGCACTCGATTTCCTTCTCCCACCTTGTCATGAACTGGACCTCGACCCAGAAGCCAGACAGGAATTGTGACCATCCTGTTTTATTTGAAGCATGATAAGTGATGCTGCACTTTTTATCACGTCGTGCAGGGGAGAGAGGAGCTGGAGTATCTCCAAATATCCCATGATCTGGACCTCAGCTGCCTAAGAAAGGGTCGATTTGCATCCGAAATTTCTCTACCTGTTGGTTTTCCCTGAATCTTTACCACTTCTAAGATTTTATAGTCATCTTGTTTGAGCCCCATAAGAGTCAGTTGCTGTTTCATAGCTCGTGAGGGCCATTTGTTCATAGATTGACACAGAATCTTCTCCCTCTTGGTGAAGTTCAGCGTATTTTTGTGAAATCCCCAGAATCTGAGAAAATGTACCCAGAAGCCACTATGGGCAAGGGCCCTAAAGACAAAACCCCTCAGGTTTAGTTTGCAAACAGGTGCATGTTGTTTTGTTGCCTGCTGTGCTTTTGTGCAGGGCCAGCATACAGAAATGTGTCCACCAGTCATGTCCTCTCCATCCTGGGGGTTGTCTTGGTCCATCCCCACTCTGGATGGAGTAATTTTTGAGTCAGGTTAACGTGTTGTGTTCATAACTCTGTCCCTTTCTCTCCATTCAAGACACCAACTGTTATTTTTAATAGGACAAAGTCCCTCAGTCCTACAGTGAGTACTGTAGCTGTTATATTATGGTGCTTAGTTGTCTGCAAGCATCAACCAGCAAAAGGGGGTGTTTTTTAATCTTAATTCAGGTGTCTCAGGAGCCTGCCTTGGGAAGCAGGTGATACCAACTCTGAGGCCGTTCAGCTACAGTGTTAGCGGCGTCAGAAGAGTCATAATCAATTAATTACCATCCTTATCATTGCTGCTACTGATTAGATCCGTAAGCCTCTGATAGCAGAATGTGACCCACGTGGTTGGCACCTGTGGCCTTGTACAGACACTTGTGCAGAGGCTCCGTGGCATCCATCCAGCAGGGATCTAACGGGTGAAGCCGTGAACAGGTGTGCAAAAATTCTCTTCGGAGTCTTTTTAGCTGCAGTATTTTTATTCTCATGTCCAATGCACTGTTGAATCAGCAGCTGGAAGAATTAATTTTCACCTATTGTTGTGCCATCTATGTAAAAATTAGATTAAAAACTTTGCTTTTATATATTTAATCTAGGTGGACAGTATATTATTGTCAGCCTCTGTGGAACATTTGAACAATTGCAATGTCTGTGTTGCTACAGTGCTTTAGAAGGAGCATTAGCTTTAGCTGACTGATTTTTTTTTCTCCCAAAGTTTTATTCAAAGACCATGTACGGAGTTTTTATAAACTTGGCAACTAGTTCCCAAAACCCTGCATCTTAAAGCTTGCTGCAAGAAAAAAAAATCAATAGCACCACCAGTCATGAACTGCAGGCTCCAGGTGTTGATTCTGCTGCCTTTATTCAGGGTAAGGAATGAGTAACTTTTGTAGAATTTACCTTTTGTGAAATCTGAAGGATTAAATATGTGACTGGTTTATAAAAACTCTGCTTGAATTTACTGATCTTGCCCAGAAGCGTGGACTGTACTTCCTAGGAGATCTCACTATCCCCAGC